TTAGGTAATTGACCTTTTTCTTTGCTGAGGGAATTGCTAACTCACCTCTTTCTTTTATCGCTACGGTTCTATTTTTTCATCGATGGGAGGGCCAATTTGTTTTATAGAGTAACCTTTGGATGGTTTATAAATTTTTTGTCTTAGATTGTATAACTAAATGGTGTAGTGGACTGACCTTGCTTGAGAATTTGCTATATCACTACTTTTTTCACATATCCCTCTTTAAGGGCTGATCAACCGAATCAATGTCAAGAATATTTTGTTTTCATAATGATTAATAATTATTGTTCAACAAGAGAACCAATCTGAGTAGTTCATGTGAGACCAAAGAAACCGAGTGGACATAGCAATTCTCTAACTTCTTTGTCTAAGTTAACTCTTATCATTTTTATCTTAAAGATGGATGATCTATTATTATTTAAATCTGGTAAGTTTTTTTATTATTTTATTAATTAGTGTTATTTTTTAATTGTTTGGTGGATATAAATATTAATCTACATTGTAAATAAAAAATATTTTAAAAAAATATTTTTTTTTGCCGTGTTTGTGTTCTCATTTTTTTGAAATCACTATCTCCCTTGTCTATGTCAGTGTTTGTGTCCGTGCCCATGCTTATTACGTGTACACTTTACACATACATATGAAAAATAGACCCTATGTTAACCTAATAACCTAATTAAAGTGAAGAAGAAATCTCACGGAAATCATAATTCATTGATACTATTTTAGAACCCTCACCCATTGTTCCAGACAAACGTTGCGAACCAATTCACTCATTATGATCATTGCATGTACTCAATTCAAAAGAAATACCCTATACCTGGAGCATATACCATGCACATCACTAGGCTGCTCTTGAGAACACAGGTGCCATCATTTCCACCCAACTGCGTGACAAAATTTGTTTCATTGCATTAAGTATAAAACTTGTCTTTTTCTCGAGACAATACATGAATTTAGTTCACCACAGAAAAAGTGGTTTTTCAGCAGTTAAAGAACCAATTATGATATAAAACAAAAGATTAAAGAACATTTTTAGGAGTTATAGGCTGATGATACCCTATGCACGGAGGAGCTGTGCTGCGATCGTCACACCTTCCACTGCCTTTAAGCTTATAGAACCTTCTGTTCAAGATGTAAATAAGAGAGGTTAAGATCGATTTAAGTTTCTAAATTTTTAAGAACAATGGCATATTTTGTCTAAAGAAAGTATCTATAATCCCCGTGATATGGTATCCAATAACAACACAAGACCTAATTCACCACACTTCTACACCTTGGATTATGTTGTCATAGTCAACTTAATCTGAAAAATTGTTTATGTTCCATGATCCAGCCACAATGAGGAAATTTCAATGGTCGAGCATTTTAATTAGGTCTTTTTGACCTGCGACATCTCTGAAGTTTCTTAGATACCTTGATTTGTACAGCTGGTCAGTACCCTTTGAGTTTATTTCCGAATTCTGGTTAATTATAATTCAAATTACAGCTATACTCATTCAGAAAACTCTGTCTCTCGCTCTCCCTCTCTCTCTCCCTCTCCCTTCAAGAGTACTACATTGACCTGTGCACTTTTGAATTCCTCCGACGTGCAGTAATTTGATCTGTAAATATTTTGGCATATCTTTTTTGAAATATTCACCACTTTTTATGGGTATACCTACCAATGTCAAGCAATTTGACCCATAAATCTGATCTGAAAAATTTTCCAACTTTGAACCAAATATCTCTCACAAGTTTCATAAAGACGCATGATTGAAGAATCCACCAATTGCTCATAATATATATATATATAGAAAAGAAAATTTGAATAAAACAAAAAACCCATCAAATTCATGTAACAGAAAATCAAACCCACAACAACAATGAAGAAAGAATAATCAAGACCCACCAACTGTTCGATCAAATGTATGAATCAAAAAATGTCGGGATTTGATCAGAAACTGTTACCTTAGTACCAGGGGCTGCTTGGAGGATCTCCTCCTCGGGGATAATAACAGGCCACTGTTCACCGGCGTCGCAGAACATTTGCTCGGTCTCGAGAAGCGGACCCTTGTCGAGAATCATGGTCCTGCTGACCGCTCGTCCAAACCAAAATTCGCCACTCGTCACTCGCCTCCATGAGAGAGAGAGAGAGAGAGTGAGAGTGAGAGTGAGAGAGAGACAGTGTTGTTTCGAAACTTAGGGCTCTCTCACTGTTTTGAAACAGTGTTGTGAAATTAAGGCTCTACAAACCTGAAAGGAAATGAAAAAAAATGGGGGGAAAAGGCAGAGGGAAAAAATGGAGGAAATTAAGTTTGGGTGGGCAGTCCGGTGAGTCAGTGAAAAATTGGGGGAAATTAGTTTTATTGTTATTTTATTGATTTTTTTTTTATTTGATAGAAGTAGGGGTAATATTTTAATGAAAAATATTTTTCGTTAAAATAAAATTAATTTTTTATGGTCAATGAAAAATATTTTTTTGTGGCCCATTTTTTTTTTGTTACTAAAAATCAAGAACTAATTTTTTGTGATAGAAGAAAAGGAGCGACAGTAATGGTGAAGATGGTAGATAAGAGGTGATAGTGGTAGTGGTGGTGGTGGTGGTGATGGCGAAGGAGATTAGTGGTGAAGTTGTGGTAGTGGTAGAGGAGATGGAGTGGCGGTGGTAGAGGAGAGGTAATAGTAGTAGTAGTGGTGGTAGTGGTAATGGAGTGGTGACGATGGTGGTAGTAATGGTAGTCGTAGAGGTGGAGTGACAACAATGGTAATAATGCTAGCAATGGAATGACATTTGCAGTAGTAGTGAATGTGGTAGAGGAGATGGGTGGTGAGAGAGAGATGAGTAAGAGACAGATAGAGAAGAGAGATAGAGACAGACAGACAGAATGAATGAGAGAGACAGAGAGCTCGGTAAATAGAAAAGATGGGAGAGAGAGAGTGGGCAAGGTGAACACAATGGGGGAGAGAGACAGACAGACACACAGAGAGAAATAAAGAGAGAAGGGTGATGAGTGAGAGAGAGGCAGACAGACACACAAAGAGAAAGAGAGAGAGAAGAGTGAGAGACAGACAGACAGACAGACATAGAGAGAGAAAGATAGAGAGAAAAGTAATGAGTGAGAGAGAGACAGAGACAGAGAGAGAAAGAGATAGAGACATAGACAGAGAGAAACAAGAGATGAGTAAGAGATAGACAAAGAGAGCGAAAAGAGATGATCAAGAGAAAGACATAGAAAAAGAGAGAGATAGAGAGAAAAGAAAGATGAGCGAGAGAGACAGAGAGAAAGAAAGAGAGAAGAGAGATGAGTGACCGTTGCATTTATTCAAACAATTTTGTGACTGTATATTTATGAAGTTGTCTCAAAGACACAATATATTTTTTTTTACTTTTTTTTTTGGCAACGGTACCTATTACAGTTGCAAAAAACTCACATTTTTTTTTTACAACGACAGTTGGTGCTGTCGCAAAAACTCTATTTTTTTCGCGACAGCAAAAGAGAGAGACAAAAAAAAGAAAAGAAAAGAGAGAAACAAGAGATAAGCGAGAGATAGACAAAGAGAGAGAAAGAGAGCGAAAAGGGATGATCGACAGAAAGACATAGAAAAAGAGAGAGACAGAGAGAGAAGAAAGATGAGCAAGAGAGACAGAGAGAGAGATAGAGAGAAGAGAATTGAGAGAGAAAGATAGAGAAAGAAGAGAGATGAGAGAGATAGAGAGAAGAGAGATGAAAGAGATAGAGAGATGAGCGAGAGAGAAAGAAAGAAAGAGAGAGAGAGACAGAGACAGAGACAAAGACTGATAGACAGAGAAAAGTGATGAGTGAGAGAGAGAAGAGAGAGAGAGACAAAGAGAGAAAGAGAGAGAGAGTAAGAGACAGAAAAAGAGACAAAGAGAGAAGAGAGAAGATAGATGAATGAGAGAGACAGAGAGAGATAGAGAGAATAGAGATGAGCGAGAGAGAGATAGAGAGAAGAGAGATGAGAGAGACAGACAGACAGACAAAGAAGAGTGATGAGTGAGAAAGAGAAAAAAGAGAGAGAGAGAGAGAGAGAGAGAGAGAGAGAGAGAGAAAGAGATAGCGAGTGAGAGACAGAAAAAGAGACAGAGAGAGAGGAGAGATGAACGAGAGAGACAAGGAGAGAGATAGAGAGAAGAGAGATGAGAGAGACAGACAGACAGACAGACAAAGAAGAGTGATGAGTGAGAAAGAGAAAAAAAAAGAGAGACATAGACAAAAATAGAGACAGAGAGAGAGACAGACAGACAGACAGACAAAGAAGAGTGATAAGGGACAGAGAAAGAAAGAGAAGAGAGACAGAGACACAGAGAGAAAGAGAGAGACAGACAGACAAAAAGAGAGAGAAAGAGTGATGAGTGAAAGTAAATTTTTATTTTTCATTCGGCGACTAAATTATTTTAGTTGCCAAGACTATCTATACAACGACTAAAATATTTTTTAGTCACTGAAATTAAATTTTTGTCAACCAAACTTTTGGTCGCCAAATATAAAAAATAAATTTTTATTTTTCATTCAGCAACTAAATTATTTTAGTTGCCAAAACTATCTATACCGCGACTGAAATATTTTTTAATCACTGAAATTAAATTTTTGCCGACCAAAATTTTGGTCGCCAAAGATAAAAAGTGAATTTTTATTTTTCTTTCAGCGATTAAATTATTTTAATTGCCAAAACTATCTATACAGCGACTAAAATATTTTTTCGTCGCTGAAATTAAATTTTTGCCGACCAAAATTTGGGTCGCCCAAGATAAAAAGTAAATTTGTATTTTTTTTCAATGACTAAATTATTTTAGTTGCCAAAACTGTATATACAGCGACCAAAATATTTTTTATCGCTGAAATTAAATTTTTGCCAACCAAACTTTTAGTCGCCAAAGATAAAAAATCAATTTTTATTTTTCATTCAGCGACTAAATTATTTTAGTTGCCAAAACTATCTGTACCGCGACTAAAATATTTTTTAGTCGCTAAAATTAAATTTTTGCCGACCAAAATTTTGGTCGCCAAAGATAAAAAGTAAATTTTTATTTTTCTTTCAGCGACTAAACTATTTTAGTTGCCAAAACTATATATACAGCGACTAAAATATTTTTTAGTCGCTGAAATTAAATTTTTGCTGGCCAAATTTTTGGTCGCCAAAGATAAAAAGTAAATTTTTATTTTTCTTTCAGCAACTAAATTATTTTAGTTGCCAAAACTATATATACAGCGACCAAAATATTTTTTAGTCGCTGAAATTAACCTTTTGCCGACCAAACTTTTGGTCACCAAAGATAAAAAATAAATTTTTATTTTTCATTCAGCGACTAAATTATTTTGGTTGCCAAACTATCTATACCGCGACTAAAATATTTTTTAGTCGCTGAAATTAAATTTTTGCCGATCAAAATTTTGGTCACCAACGATAAAAAGTGAATTTTTATTTTCCTTTCAGCGACTAAAATATTTTTTAATGGCTAAAATTAAATTTTTGCCGACCAAAATTTTGGTCGCCAAAGATAAAAAGTAAATTTTTATTTTTCTTTCAGCGACTAAATTATTTTAGTTGCCAAAAATATATATGCAGTGACTAAAATATTTTTTAGTCGCTGAAATTAAATTTTTCCGACCAAACTTTTGGTCGCCAAAGATAAAAAATAAATTTTTATTTTTCATTCAGCGACTAAATTATTTTAGTTGCCAAAACTATCTATACAGCGACTAAAATATTTTTTAGCCGCTGAAATTACATTTTTGCCGACCAAAATTTTGGTCACCAAAGATAAAAAGTAAATTTTTATTTTTATTTCAACGACTAAATTATTTTAGTTGCCAAAACTATCTATATAGCGACTAAAATATTTTTTTAATCGCCAATTGTGGCAAATTTAGAGACTAAATTTTTTTTAGTCACCAATTGTGAGATTTTTAGCGACTAAATTTTTTTTTGTCGCCAAAAATTAATATACCCCAACTAAAAAAATTTAGCTGCTAAATATTGTACTTTTACTGACTAACATAATTTTTGGTCGCCAATTCCCCAACTTTTAGCAACCAAAATATTTTTTGTCGGCAAAAGTGGTCGCCAAAAGTGCATTTTCTTGTAATAATATAACCTTTTGTCATGGTCTATAGAAAAACTTTTGTCGTGGTACATAGATCACTTTCTGTCGCGGTACATGTATATGACCATTTGTCGGCGTACATAAATAACCTTTTGTCATGGTCTATAGAAAAACTTTTGTCGTGGTACAGATTACAATGGTAATTTGTACCATGCCAAATGGTAATTTTGCTTGGTAATAAATGTATTTTTTTTGTATACGAAGGACTTTTATTTTTGTATGACATATTTTGTATGAAATTATTATTTTAGTTTGGACAATAGTTGGTTTGTATGGACTTTGACATTTAAAGTTATTTATTTTTTGTATATGGATGCAGATTGTGGAATAATTGATAGTATGTATCATTTTGTTTATATACATATTACAGGTTGCATGGAATATGGACAAGTTGTGGAGATATTATAATTTTGCGATAAAGCATAATATCATGTTTTTGGCGACTGAACAATTAGTAGCGAAAAAGAATTGGGAAAATACTTTGGGCGGCTAAAAATTTTGTAGCAAAAAATAAAAAAAATAGACATTTGGCGACTAAAAGTTTTTTAACCAAAAGAAAATCAAACATTTGGCAACTGAAATATTCGGTAGCTAAAAAACAAACTAAAGAATAAAAATACATTTGCCGACTAAAATTTTAGTAGCTAAAAATGTGGGACTTTCGGCGACTAAATATTTAGTAGCCAAAACAAGACCTCTTTACCACATTAACAATTTTAGCTAGCAAAACATGCAGGACTTTAGGCGACCCAAATTTTTAGTAGTCAAAAAGAAACACTCTTGCGACTAAATTATGGAGTTAAAAATGGAACTTTAGACAATTTAAAAGTATTGGTCGCCGAAAATTAGTAATTTAATTTAATGTCCAACCTTTTGGCCGCTAAGATCCTTAACGACCAATTCCTCGACGACGACTTTTCGACCAAATAATTTTAGTCCGCTGATTCTCCCTTCAGCGACTAAAAATCTAACTTTACGTAACTAAACAATTTAATCGCTAAAAGGTGAAAAATTCTTGTAATATTATTGCTTATTGTCGTGATGCTGGGGCTCCTGCCAATCACTTACTATTTAAC